TATCAGATATAAATGAGGTCAAACAGAAAAACAAATGGATCTTTGTTCAACAAATAACCTAAGAGATTATTAGAACAAGGAGGCTCTGATACCACTTGTTGGTCCCGGTTGTACTGGATACAGTCTAGAGGGGGGGGTGAATAGACTGTATTGGTTTTTAGCTTTTTAAACTAAGTACCAGATTTTACAGAATAGCCTGTTCTGTTGACAGAACAGACTGGCAGCGGATGGGGTTCTGGTAGGGAGTTCTGTTGATTTAGCCTCAGAGAAGCAAAGGCAGTAGGCCTTCTGTTAACTCGTAGAACAAGTTCTGCTGAACACAGATACCAAGTCCAAGGAGTTAGACAGTTCTATCTAAGTGCAAATATTAAAGCAGTAAGTAAATGACACCAGGGATTTTTATAGTAGTTCAAGGAACAACTTGTTCCTCTAGTCCACTGTTCCACTAAGCTGTAAAAACTTCTGTTTACAAAGCCTTAGTCCTAGCACTTAAGAAGCTCTCCACGTCTTCTTCAAGTCTAGATGTCTCCTGGGATGCATTGCCTGGCTTCCTTTAAGACTGGTCCTTTCACTGAGCTTCCTGGAAGTATCACCACTTCACTACTCAAGTTACTTGGACGTCCTTCTTGTAGCAAGAAGAGTTTCTGTTAACACAGGGGTTCCTCCAACTAGCTTCGTTACAAATGATTTGTATATGATGAGCTTGTAGAGTTGAAGAACACTTGGAACTTTGCTTGAGTTGGAAAAAGTATTTTTCCAACTTCTGCCTTCTCTTGTAGAAGATGATGAAGTGTTAATCTCAAGGAGGCTTTTTGCTTTTAGAGTTTGAATATCTTGTATGAAGAGTTGTAATGTGTAGCAAAGATTGCAAAGTTATATGGTTGTTCTTCGTAGTGTATCTTTATACTGAGGTTGTCTTCCCGTTGGAGGAGTAGGAGGACAACTGCATTAAATGAGCGATCAGTTGACTTGACTAGTATAGCCCGGTAAAGTTGGCGGGTTACTATTTTGGGATAAAGTATTCCTGACATTGCGGCCAATCATCTGCAATTACTCTACGGAGCATGGGGTGCATTAAATGAGCATTTAATGCGTGCACTGTAGCTTTTCCGTTTCATACTCCTAGCCGTTGAAGGAATCTTTTAGTTGACTTCCCGGTTCTGTGAAATTCTTCTAAGTGTCAGACCTTCTGGTGTCTTTAACTGAGAGAACAGAGGAGGTCTGGAGCACTTCTGTTGAGAGAATATCCAACAGAGACCCAGAAGGGTTTCTGTCAGAGTAAAGACTAACAGAGACCCTGAGGTCTTCTGTTCTGGAGCAGAGAACCAAAGGTCCTCTGTTTCAATAATGCCTTAAGAGGGTCTTCTGCTCTTGGAGCCCTTCTGCTCAGAAGGTCTTCTGCTCTGAAGGCATTCTGCCAAGTCGATTACACTAAGAACTTTACAAATGAAAATTCTAAAACATTAAGTCCAAATAGGGGTACTCTAAAGTCCTAATCAATCTAGCATCATCAAAATCTAAATACAAATATTCCTTACAGCCGCTAATGGGCCGGATACAAATAGTATAGAAATGATTAGTATAAAATCCTATTCTCGAGTCTTTCTTTGGCCGACGAGGGCGTGGCCGATGAGAGCATGGCCGATGAAGACCCGGCCGACGAGGTCACCCGGTTCTCCTGGCTTCTGGATCATATTCTAAGTAGACTTCTTTCTGGCCGATGAGTGTCATCTGGCCGACGAGAGTCCCACCAGGTGATCGTGGTACCTTATGTTCTCCTGAGTATGTGGGTCCTGGGGTCCAGACCCATATACTCCATCATATTTATGTAAAGGAGTTGAGCAACTAGACTTTTTTTTCATTGTTTACATTTACATCAATGTTTTATTTCTTATATTTCGTATTTCAACTTGTATGCAATTACATTTCCATACACACCCTGCTACTAGGACAAAAAAAGTTATTGTTTACGCGTGTTAGTGTTCGTGTGTGTTTTGGCTGTGGGACCACTATGGTCACCATGGGCTACTCTCACGGTATAACAAACACTTTGGGTATATAATACATCTGACACAAGCCATACCTTTTTCGGATCATATAATCGCATTCCTACTTTTTACAATGCGCCACAAATAATCTAATTCATATCCAATAATATATACTACCTTCGTCCCCTAATTTTGGTATAAAGAGATGTGGTGTGGTTTTTAAGAAAAAGAAGAATTGTGTGGTTGGTATTGAATTGATAAAGTGTGAATAAAGTACAAATGAATTCTAGCCACTCAAATATTACCAAATATGGTATGAGACAAACTTAATGAGACAGACGAAAAAGGTAAAACAAGACAAAGTTAGGGGATGAAGGGAGTACTAATTAAATAAATATGAGCATCATGAGATTAACAATATTTTGTACTCGGGCAAAAAAAACAATATTTTGTACCAATAACAAAATGAATTTATAAAATATTAGTTTCAATTTGTTATATATTTATAATACAAATTAGTCAACTCAATCTTATTTCACTATTAAATTATTGTTTTCTCGTGCAACACGCGGATTTAGTGCCTAGTATATATAAAGATAATATTATGAAGATTTAAATATAAATCTATTCGGAGTCAAAAGAAGTGAAAAAATGTTGTCATTATTAATGAATCATTATTTGACGACTCACTCATTAATAAAATCTAATTATAATTAATGGTTGTATTTTTTTAAAGAAAAAGGCCAAACTATATTAATTTAACCAATGGTTTGGAGTTACAACCAGCCAAAAACTCAAAAATCGCCAACTATCTTATAAAAGACTCCATATAGACTTAGGGAAAGTCCTACAATCAGACTCTGAGATGGAAATCCAAAGAAACAACACAAATCGTTGACCATCAAAAGGACATCATAGAGTTCTTTCTGACCCTCAAGGTCGTCGTATTCTTTACCACTTCAATAAAATCAAAACAGCTGAAGGGATCCCTCAGTCCCTGATGAGACATAGAAACATTCACCCAAAATAGAGCGAAATTTTTCGCTTAACATAGATGGGATTTGAGGTAAATAATGAACGTAAGCACTCGAAAAAAACAACTAACACTAGCAAGCCAAAAACATAGTAAAAGGTCGAAAATGACATTAGATAAACTGGAAAGAAAAACAAAGCAATAAATCGCACGCGGCCCGATCCAAACTTGAAGCATCTTTTTCCAAACTCTAATTAACCATACGATCCCTCAATGTCGGCAGTTCAGGAGGGGGCAAACTGGCAATACCAAATCTTCTTCCTCACTCTTCTGCTTGTACAACACGTTCTCCTGGAAACTGCTCAAACATCTCTAAACTAGACTTGCACAAGGCGGAAGCCTCACACCAGTCATTAAACCTCAAGTACATAAAAAACATGGAAGAAAGCATGTGTCAAAACTAAGACAACCACCGCCAGCCTGAAACACGGGCGGCAGAACAAAACAACCCTACCAAGAGGAAACAAATCACGGATTATAGTAATGGTTGAATTGCAAGTTTTTTTTTGGAAGCGTTGAATTGTAAGTTATAAATTAAAAATTAATTAGAAGAATAAGAAAAAAGATATTAAATATAAATAAAATTATTAGAAAAACATTACAAACACACATAGACAATTGATTAAGAGACATGGTATAATAATGTTAAAAAACAAAATGTTCTAAGTTTAGAATATAAAATAGAGTATTATAATATATTAAAGCGTGATGAACTTGGTTACAAATATATATATATATATATATATATATATATATATATATATATATATATATATATAGATAATATGGTGGAGATCCAAATATAAATCTATTTGGAGTCCAAAGAAGTGAAATTTTTTCATTATTAATCAAGCATTATTTAATAACTCACTTATTAATACAATCAATGATGAAGTATAATTATAATTACTGGTTGTAAGTTATAAATTAAATATTAATTAGAAGAATAAGAAAAAAGACATAAAATATAAATACAATTATTAGAAAAACATTAGATACACACACATAATTAATTAAAAGATATGATACAATAAAGTTAAAAAACAAAATGCTCTAATTTTAGAATATAAAATAGAGTATTATTAAAGTGTGATCAATTAGGCTACAACTATTCTATAAAGGACAGTGATAATAACCAATATTGTATATTGGATCGTCTCCCTCCTGAATCGCCGTCATGGAGTGCAAGAGAGTCTAGGGTTTGGAAGCAGTTTTTTAATTTTACTGTTTGCTTGTGATTTATTTTTTATTATCAGACTGTTTGTTTTTTAGAAAAGGGTCAGATGGGGCCTCGAACTTACAAAAAAATGTCAAATAAGGCCTTATATAAGAGGTTCTGTCCGGCCGATGCTATTTGGGGCGGTTCCCAGTGGAATTTTTCAATGAAATTTTGTGAGAATCTTATTCATTAAGTCTAGTTTACTCGTACCAAGTTTAAGTTGAAAATTCAATCAGGAAGACATTCAAATAAATTCTTGAAGATAACTGCACTTTTAAGTGTGCACTTATCTTCAAGAATTTATTTGAATGCCTTCCCGATTGAAGTTTTAGCTGAAAATTGGAATGAGTCAACTAGACTTAATGACTAAGATGCTTAAAAAGTTTCATTGAAAATTTCCAACGGGAACCGACCCAAATGGCGTCGGGAACCGAACCTCATATACAAGGTCTTATTTGACATGTTTTTGTAAGTTCGAGGCCCTATCTGACCCTCTTCCCTTTATTTTTCCGTTGGTCACTTTTATTGTTGTAAGAATGTAAGACTCTTGCATTATGATTAGGTGATGGGAGGTCTGCTTTAACCTTTATGCCCATTATAGTATCATCGAGTTATATTACTTTTTTGAAAGTGATTGACTCTAAGTCTACTTCGATGGCTGATTGTCTGACGCCTGACGGTTGTCTGTGGTCCTTTTGTCGTTTTACTCCCTATCTGAATACTAATGTTGTGATATCAATTCAAGCTCCATTTTTCCAGGGAAAAAAATCTGTAAGCATATACATCATTTTAAACTTTTTAACAAATACATATTTATGATTGGTGTGGTTATTTCATAATAAAAATTTATTACTTTCAACTTTGAATCCTATAAATAATTCACATCATTTAGCATTTTTCATTTTAACTCACACTCCTTATCAAATTGACATTCTACGGAGGCATCATGCCCCAGGCATGCCCCAGACTTTACACTAGTTACTCACTATATCAATCGTTTTCAGAAATAAATTAATTACATGTGTATTGGCCGGTGATCAAATATTAGGAGTGTACGTTACAACTTGAGGGTATGTATTGTCCCATTCGTCCGATAGAGTAATACAAACGCCAAGAGTACGGAATAGGAAATGCTTTCATTTCCAAACATTCAACAAACGGGAAGTGCACCCATTGACAGCAATGAAACAATTGAAGCGAGAAATGGGGGGGAAATATGACACTTGCATTGCAGACCATATTTTTGGTTGCCTAACCAGAAAATGTTGGGGAAAATTGATAAACTTGACACGATTCCAGGCAGATGAAATGTATCAATCAGTACACATGCATTCCCTAAAGCATCTCAAAAGTACTGCATCCCTGGAGGGCTCATACGTTGAAAAGAAGTTTGGATCACACCCGAATGCCTCGACATAGCTTTCGAGAATTGTTACGATCTCCTGGAAGTGTGGCCGTTTATGAGGATTACTTGCCCAACAACGATTAACAAGATTCTGGAATGCCTTCGGGCAGTCAGACGGCAATGGTGGTCTTGCATTCTGTCAAAAGAATAAGAAACCCACATACAAATAAACAAACAATCAACTAAATAAATAAAATGAATTAATCAATACAGGAACAAGATCACTGGATAAGAATGAAAATAAAAGCTTCGGCATAATGCACATATAGGTGAAAAGGATAAATTTGTCAATACAACAATGTAATAATAATATGCAAGTGACAAATTAATAGTCAATAGTCATACATGTGCAATGTTTCAATCAATTAATTAAAACTAGGAGTGCATGAGGTCCACTTCCAGTGAAGGGGAGAATAAGAACCTTAACCGGGTATACCGGTCCAGTTCTCTGCTCGTTTAGTCCAGTTTTTAACCGTATTAAAAAAAACAGAAACCGCAACTTGAACGGATCTGGTCCTATTTTGGAGGAACTGGTTTGGACCGGTTTCCGAGGTCCAGTCCTGGTCTGGTTTGCAGGGGCAAATGGCCGGTCCAAGTCTGATCTGGTTCTGGAACCAAATCCATCCCTAGTTAAAACGAGAGCAAATCTCAAAATACCTTTTGGCAGACAGCAAAAGCTGCCTGTTCTGGTGTCATATTGTCAAATGGTGTTAATGCCGTTAAGAGTTCCCAGAGAACGATGCCAAAACTGTAAACATCTACTTTTCTAGTGTGATGTTTTTCCTTGATCATTTCTGGTGCCATCCAACGGTAAGTGCCAGTGAAGCCCTTTGCACTACCACATTGGGACTCTAAGCATGATATCCCAAAATCAGCCACTTTTACGCACATATTTTCATCAAGCAACAGATTCTCTGATTTGAGATCTCTGTGAAGTATCCCCAGAGCATGAAGATACTGCATCCCACGTGCAATGTCAAGAGCCAGTTTTAGCACCAGTTTGAGAGGGACTGAGTATGGTTCCTGCTGGTGTAGGTACTTCCTCAGGGAGCCTCCAGGAACATATTCAGTGATTATGCAAAACACAGGGGGTTTCTTACATGCCGCAACAAACTGCAGACAATAAGATAAACGAAATGTAGATCGAAACTAAAACCAGCTGGCAAAGACAGTGACTTGTGCCTAACAATGTGTTGACACAAACTCTGAAGCGACTGTGTTTCTTGCGAGAATCATGTGGGGTGCTAATGCTCTCTCTGTTGAGATTCATTTGTGGTTCCTAGTGATGAGTATTAGTCTGTCCAGATAGCAATATCTACAATTCATTATAATTTTATGTGTGTTGAAAGGAAATTATTACCCAATTAATTCAAGCAACAAAATCACAACCTAAAACCATGTATTACTCCATCTGTGTTTAATTGTGGTGAAAAACTAACAAGTGTCAAAATCTTTGTACAACAGCACATGTCACTAAACTAAAGCATTTTGCCCCTCAAATTTAATCCTTAATAAGAAACCCAACAAATTCAAATTCGCAATTATTTTAGAAGCCCACTCAGCAGTTAGAACATAGTTTAAACATAGTTTCTAAAAGGATAGCTTTTTTCAGAGTATGATTTTGGTAATTATGATTTCTTTCATATTTTATTTTAGAGTATTACTCCGTATTTTGCAACCACTAGCCTTCGACTTTCATCAATAAAAAATCTACCTGTCTGAGGAATAGACCAAATAGCTCAGATCTAAATTCAAATATTCAATTAGCCAAGATAAAAAGCCTCATCTTAAATGGGAACAAGAAGGATTTGCACTAACTTTTCTGTTTAACAGAAGATCCATTTCCATTTCGTCTTTAAAGAACACACAACTCTTTCTTTCCCGTTTTCCCAAATGTAGCAACAATGAATTAACCAAAAGGCCACATGAGTGCACTCTTAGGAGGCTGATAGGGATAAATTATAAATTGAAGTAAACCACAAAAAAATACCGGTGATTCTGAAACGCCATAAATCCACAACTCTTGAAAGACTCAGATCATACAAAAAACAAATTAGCAACTAGATCCTTACAGTGATGATATTGGGATGCTTGAGCCGAAGCAACAAAGCGACCTCGGAGGAGAACTGTGTTTCCAGATAAGATGCCAAGTCTTCGTCCTCCTCGGGCTGGCTTATGAGCTTAATAGCAACATCTCTCTGCTTATAAACCCCTCTGTAAATCCTACTATGGCGGCCAGAGGCAAACTTATTCCCAATATAGAGCTCGGACATGTCAGCGCTCCACTGCTGACGGCCTTCCTCCTTAATGGCCGCCCCGGAGGAGACGAGGTACTTGGACCAGGACGCTGCTCGCCTGTACTCTCCCAGCGAAAGCCGCCTCTCGAGCTTCCCATTACTCTCCACAATTCGCTTAAACCAGTTACAATTCTTCATCGTACAGGGAGCATCAAATTTTCCAAGAAAACAAAATCCTATGAGCAAATCAAATGCACAAAAAGAAACTTGCAAGTGCTTCTATGAGCAATCCAGTAATTGTTGGCGGCTTCAGGATTTCAAACTTTCAACAGTAGCTACATTACACTTCCGAATTTCCAATTCAAATCCGTACATTAAAGAGGTTTATGCATAGCTTTTAGAAAGGAAGCGAAAAAGGGCGGTTTTATCCGGAGAAATCCACTGGGTAATAAAATGGATTCCTCCGCATATATACAGTATTTATCAGCAGTTATATGTTCGAGGAAAAGCGCGTGGGCGGGAGAAGCTGAAACTACGTCGTATGAGGAGCGGAGAGAGGTGAGGTGGGAGCGAGAAGCGGAGAGGAGGAGCATAGGCGGAGGATCTGAGAGCGGAGGAGGTGACGGTGGTGCTCTCAAATTCAGCAGCGCGAAATGACAACACAGTGGTGTAACATTCATAACGTGCGAAAACCCACTTCGCAGGAGACATAGCGGCCCCTGATAGTGACTGCTCATTATTCCTTTCCCGCATTTACCCTTTTTTCTCATCCAAATTTCACAATTGCATTACCGCGCTGTCCTTGCATCGGCCTCGCCCCCTTTCCGAACCACACTACCTCATTTATGAATTTTGCCTAGAAAAAATTTCACTTTTAGTCTTTTAGTCATTTACTTTCAGATTTAGTCACTTTTAGTGTGTGAGACCGTGACCATTTAGTCACTACTATTATATCACTTTCACATTTAGTCATTTACTTTTAGATTGTCCATATTTAGTCCGTGAGACCGTGACCATTATCTCTTCACCACCCCTCGTACTTTCGACCAAAATTCCGGCAAATTTAGTCCACTTATCAGCCTTAGAATCAGTGTTTGCATTAAATTTTATATAAAGTTGGGTTTTTCATTATTTCATATCACTCTTTGCATTAAATTTGGTTTTTCATACCTAAAATCTGCATTAAATTTGCCGAAATTTTGGCCGAAAGGACGAGGGGTGATGAGGGGATAATGATCACGGACTAAATGTGGACAATATGAAAGTAAATGACTAAATGTGGAAGTGGTATAATAGTCACGGGACCAATTTACTAGTCTCATTCCCTATTTATCAAAATAAATTACTCTTAATCTTGTACAATAGTATTATATCAAAAATTTCTTAATCTTTTACTGTAGTATATCTAACTACTGAAATTATCACTCACCCCTTGAGGTTTCACACATTATCACCTAGACCTTTGCACTTTTCACAATAGGATTATCCTTTAATGAGAGTTAATTAAGATTTTTAGTCTTGTAAATTTACTCACTTGCATATCTGATCTGGTAACAAATAAATTTATCCGCATTGAGATTTTTTCCACAAAAATATATACTTGATGGATAGTCTACCCGGGGGTATATATCCAAAGGGTTATTGCTGGGAATAACTTAGAGAGAAGTCAGAGCACAAGTAAATAAGAGAGAGAGTGTATTCAGTATGAATGTCGTGGTTACAAATGGGGAAATGGGGTGCTATTTATAGTAGCAATAAATGCCAGACAGGGACACGTGTCAAGCGCTCATTGGCCGAGGGGTCACCTCAACTGGTTGGCGCTGGCAGCCGCATGTGGCCGCATTTAATGCGGCTGTTGGATGGGACGTCTGTGCAGGGTACGGTGATCTGTACGCATGTGAGGCGGATATCTTGTCGAGTGAGATGCCTTCGGCTATAGAGCAGTAGCTGAGGGCTCCTCCAACCGATGGCACCCTGGTGCCGAGGGCTCACAATGCCGAGGGCTACTGTTTTCGCCGTTTTCTCCCAGTTTCTTCATTTGCTTGAGAAATCCGTTCTGTGAGAGTTTAGAGCCTTCGGTCAGGGGGTCGAAGGCACCCCTGGCGCGTAGTGCGGGCTGATTGGTACTCTGGGCGCTGTGATTTGGGCCTGCTGGGCCTTCTGGGCCTGTTGGGCTTTTGCTGGAGTAGTGGGAGTCTGTGGGCCGGGGGTTCCCGGACCATATACTCCATCAGGAGTCCCTCACTCCTTTTGCCGAAAGGTACTTGAGGGAAAAGGAGTAATCTGTGCTTGCCCTTTGACGTTGTCCTGTCGTAACCTCTGAAGTTGGTGAGGAGTTGTTGCTTTTATGTCCCTGCCGAAGGCAGTCCCTCAGTTACCCACATGTTGGGACTTGAGGACTTGCTTTGTCGTTTGTTGGAATTTCACTAATTTTGTAATTTAATGAATTTCCCGAGGGGGTCCTCCAGTCCCCCACTCCTTGAGGCACTTGTAAAGTGGTGAAAAGGAGTAGAGTAGTTGTGTTGCTGTTGTGGACCGAAGGCTGACGCTTTTCATTTCATTTTGGGGGGATGCCTCGTTAAAAACCTCATTAGAAAAAACCCTGTGGGAAAAAATCCTAATGAGGGAAAAAGAGTGCACCGAATTCCCCCAATGATGAATCGAAAATGTCAAGCCTTGGTCAAAAATGGAGAATAACGGTAATGCCGAAGGCTCTTCTTTTTCTGAGGGCTCATGTGTTGACTAACCGAAGGTTTGCTGTTGATGTCCTGGGGGTGCCGAAGGGTAGCCCTTCAATCTGGGGATCGAGGGCATGATGGATGAGGGCAGTAATTGAATTGTCGCCGGGGGGTCCACTGTTTGTTGATTAGTTGGTGATGAAGATACCCGAGGGCTCCCATTACCTGTGCGCCATGGGTTATCCGTAAATGAGGCAACTCCCCGGGGGCTACCCGGTTTTGCAGTGCTGAGGGGGAATCCCCGAGGGGTGCCCTGATATGAAGTCCTGGGTTTCTGAAGGAGTGATCCCGAAGGCATCTGCTATGGGCTGTGTGGGGCACAACCCAGGGGCGTCTCTGGGTAAGTGTACCCGGAGGCTCTCCTTGACGAAGAGGAGTGAAGTAGAAAACCCGGGGGTTTCCAGAATATAGCCGTTGGAAATATAGCCGTTGGGATATGTAACGACAGGATATAACCGTTGGGGGGGCACACGTGGCGTGTGATGGCTGGCTGTCCGTGGGCGGCATCACGGGTTGGGAGAAGACGCGGTGTGTAATGATGGCGGTCCATCCGGAGGCCCGGAATCCAGGCCTAAGCCCGGATTCCAGCGCCTATAAATACCCCAAGGCCTGAGCCATTTCCTCCTGTGCGATCAGTTGTCTTAGCGAAGCTCTGCCAAAAATTCTAGTGAGAGAAACTCCAGCCTTCGGTCAAAACTCTGCTTTCAAGGTCAGTGCCCCCTGCCTTTCTCCTTCTAGTTTAGCTGTGCATTGTGCCCTCGGGTTAGGAGATAGAATTCCCTAGAAACCTTAGTTCCCCCAAAACCTCGAGCTAGAGTTAGAATGTCGTCCCAGAGTGACTCTCAGGACATCTCGAGGACCCCCTCGGTTCAGGACGAAAGCATCTCCGACATGGAGTCCAGTAGCAGTCAGCCCTCGGGTGGTGGTGATGCAGCTCTCGCCACCGAGGTGCAGAAGGATCTGGTGGCCGAGGTCGAGGCGGAGGAGTTCGAGCGAACCGCCGAGGATGAGGAGTTGGCCCTCGCCGTCCAAGTTGCTGAAGAGGAGGAGGAAAAGGAGAGGGCGAAGGTCACTGTCTCTGTTCTTCCCCCCCGAGGTTCTGGGGAAGCAAGTAGCTCGAGGCCACTGGACCCGACGCCTTTAAGTGTAGCCCTAGGGAAGAAGAGGAGGAAGACGAAGGCTGGCCCCCAGAAGAAAGTAAAGGCTGTCGATCAAGGGGGGCCATTAGATCTGCCGGAGGGCTACTCCTTCCTGGACGCCGCCGCTCTGGAGATTAAGTCCCAAGCTGACAGGGCGGACATCTACATCACCCAGTTGCACGTAGGGCCCTCGGCCATAGTAGTCGAGCCAGGTCCTGATGACGTGCTGTCCCGGCCTCCCGAGGGATGTATAGCCGTGCACGTGCTCTCGGTCTCAATGGGCCTCCGGTTCCCTCTCCATCCTTTCCTCCGGGAGTATTTGAGGTACACTGGCCTGGTTCCCTGCCAACTGACCCCCAACAGCCACTCGTACATAACGGGGTTCGTGAACCTGTGCAAACTCCGGAAGGTTACACCGAGCTTGGAGTTATTCTTCCAAAGCTTCAACCTATGCCGGGGGGGCATACAAATGCCGAGGGCTATGCAAACTTACAGCAGATAGCCCAGTTCAAACTGTTCACCGAGGCCCATTCTTCTAATAAAGGGTGGTGAGAGCGATGGTGCTATGTCAGACTGGCTGACAGCCCTTTCCCGAGGGAGTTGCGGAATCGCTTTCGGCGCCACGTGAAGGTCAAGAGTGCCGCCCTCGAGAAGGATGGCCTGAAGATTGCCAAGATTCCGGAGGGTCGGGATAAGAACATAACAATCAAGGAGTGTGTCCTCGAGGAAGACCTACATGCCCTCGGATTCCTGAGGTATCGGTTCATTGGGGAGACCGATGAGAAGTATCCCCTCTACGATAAAGCCTTCGTGGGAGCAGGAGGTAGTGGCCGGGGGCTTTACATTTTTGTACTTAGAGATTTTCTGTCATGTTTGTTGTCGTGTCTCTGACCCCTCGGTTCTAACCTTTTAACTTGTTGTTTCTTTGCAGGTAGTAGGATGAATGCCAAAGCCCTGTTCGCAAAGAGGAAGGGCAAGACTCAGTCAAAGGAGAAAGGGCCCTCGGGTCAGAAGCCAGCCGATGCATTTTTTCCGAAGGTCGTAGAGCCTTCCGCCGGGGACGTCCATGCCGCCGTGGGGACCGGGGGGTCGAAAACCGAGGCGGCCGTGAAGAAGAAGAGGAATGATAAGGGGGTGGAGCCCCCTACCAAGAAGCAGAAAGCCGCCGAGGGCGCCGTCGAGGGGGCGGCCCCCCTCATAGTTATTGATGACACGCCCGCCGCTGATGGGCCCCTAGCCTCGGTCACCCCGAAGGCTCTGGTGAATCCATCCCCATAGGAATTACCCCGGGAGATCCGTCATCTCTCTTTTGCCCCCGGTGCTTCGTTGATGCACGGCACTGCCGAGCCGAGGGCCTTCCTGCGGGGCATCACCTCGAAGATGGACAGGGAAGTCTTCGAGACCTACGATGATGATGCCCTCGAGAACAGGATCCTCCGGTCCTCACTCACTGTAAGTATCTGCTTCCTTTTTCCTTATCTTATCAGTTTAGTATTATTCTTTCCTGAGGAATAATCTAACTCCTTTGATCGTTGTTTGCAGGCCTGCATAGCCCTCGGGGAACAGGCCCGGAGGCGCGAGGAAAGGCGCCTTCACGAGGCCGCCCAAGATAAGAAGATGGAGGGCCTGATTCGCAAGAACTTCGAGGCGATGAAGCATGCAGCCTAGCTGGAGGAGGCCCTTCGGGAGGCGAAGGCGGTGGCGGAGAAGGCCAAGGCTGACGGCATAGCCGAGGGCAAGGCAGAGGCCGAGAGGGCTGCTGCCGAGGCGGCGAAAAAAGCTGCCGATGAAGCCCAAA